AGCCCAAGGCAAATGTGGATTTGAATCCCCGATGGAATATGTGCCATTTGGTATGCATCATCTCAGTTGGGTAACCTTGGACAAATTTACTAAAATTCTTTCTCAGGGTCTCAGTTGCCTCATCTGTAAAATGGGCATAAAAATAGTCTGTACTTCAGGGTTGTATTTAAGATTAAATGGAATAATGTATGTAAGGAACTGACATACAGCAATCCCTGAATAAAGGTGGATATCACTGTGGGCAGTGTTTAATTATGTGTGTGTGTTTTTAAATTCGGAAACTATCAGACAAAATTATTTAAATTTTCAAAAAAGTTGTGGTCTAGTCCCTGGGGATCTTGAGCCCGGTCCAGGGCTGGGAATGTGACTGAAGGCTTTCCTCCAGCCCTGCCTCAGCTGGGCTCCTTGCACAGACAGAGACGGCGATCCTGAGAGCAGGGCTGGATGTTTGTCCTCTGAGGAATCCTGGGAACTTCACTTAGAGAGGACACTGTCCCAGGGCCCACTGCCCCCTCACCCCAGCAGCTGCCGAATGCACTGAGCCCAGGAGCGAGGCTGCCTCTGTCCACCTCTCCCCTCAAGCCCTGGCCCCCATCCCAGTCACAACAGCCTTTGGCCCAGTGCTCAGTGCTCTTCCCTCAGCAGCAGCTTCTGGTTCCGGAACACAGGGCTGAGCTCAGCTTTTTTTTTTAATGGATTGATTTTTAGAGAGAGAGCGCAAGAGAGAGAAACATCAGCTTGTTGCTCCACTTATTGATACAGTCAAGGTTGTTTCTTGTATGTGCCCTGACTGGGGATTTAACCCACAACCTAGGCATGTTGGGATGATGCTCTATCCCACTGAGCTACCTGGCAAGGACTGAGCTCAGCTGGGATCATGTCCTCGTAAGTAGGTTACAGAGTTTCTCTTTGTGGTGATAAAAAAAAGTTTCAGGCCTGGCTGGCGTGGCTCAGTGGTTGAGCGTTGACCTATGAACTAGGAGGTCACAGTTCGATTGCCGGTCAGGGTACATGCCCGGGTTGTGGGCTCGATACTCAGTGTAGGGCATGCAGGAGGCTGCCAATCAATGATTCTCTCTCATCATTGATGTTTCTCTCTCTCCCTCTCCCTTCCTCTCTGAAATCAATTAAATATATATATATATTAATGTTTGGAAATAGTGGTGATGGTTGCACAAAATTGTGAATGTAATTAATGCACTGGATTGTACACTTAAAAGTGGCCAATTTTATGTTATAGAAATTTTACCAAAATACTTTTTAAAATGAAAAAAAAAAAAAAGCCAGTTCTGGCTGGGTGCCTGATATACCAAGGTTGGAGGTTCGATACCCGGTCAGAGCATATACAAGAGGCAACCAATGAATGCATAAATAAGTGGAACAACAAATTGATGTTTCTCTCTCTCTCTTTCTCTCTCTCTCTCTCTCTCAAAATCAATTTAAAAAATAAAAGAAGTAATCCAAAAAAACAATAAATCCAGGAATGGGAGGACTGAAGGGAGAGCAGGCTTGTCCTGTGGGGTTTGGGGACATAACCTGGGGCCGACGGAGGCCACATTAGGAGTTCTGGATGTAGGTCCCTGGTCCAGCCCTTATTTGCTCTATGATGTCGGTAATTTAACTCCTCTGAGGACAACATGCTGTTCTCACACAGCTGGCTCTCCTGGAACTTGTTATTAAATGGTGTGAAACTCTGCCCTGGCTGGTTTGGCTCAGTGGATAGAGCGTCAGCCTGCGGACTGAAGGGTCCCAGGTTCAAAATTTGGTCAAGGGCACATGCCTGGGTTGCGGGCTTGATCCCCAGTGGTGGGGGCCGTGCAGGAGGCAGCTGACCAATGATTCCCTCTCATCATTGATGTTTTTATCTCTCTCTCCCTCTCCATTCCTCTCTGAAATCAATAAAAATGTAAAAAAATAATAAAAATAAATGGTGTGTAACTCTGTAAAACACAGAATAAGAAAGAAGGAAAGAAAGAAACCTAACAGTAATACCTTTTCCTGCTTTACTCTGAGGATGCCTGAAATTCTACCGTAAGGCTTGGAATTAAGGATTGGAAAGGGGAAACAAAAGGCACCTCTCCATCTCTGGCTCCTTGGCCTGAGGGAGATGCTCCATTTTCCCAGGGGTTGACATCCGGGGAGGGGGCTGTGAGACTCAAGGTCCAAGAAGAGAGCAGCTCAGTGGGACACAGTGCACGGACCCTGGAGGGCTGGGGTGTCCAGGAACCCCCACCAGCCTCAGTTTTGCCCTGGTGTTTAGCAGCTGAGAAGTGGTGTCCTCGGCCTGTCCCCTCATTGCCCCCTACGTCCCTCCTCCCCCACCCTTCATACCTTAGAATGCCTTTCCCATCTTTCTCCTGGGAGATTTATTTCTGTCCCTTTTTTCATCTGAGCAGCGGAAATGAATCATCCTTCGGCCCGTTTGGTAAACAGTCCCGTGCCCTCTGACCCGAGGGGCTCTCACTGCTTCCTCTGGAGCTGCTCCTGGGCTAGACACTCACCCCCAGACCCCCTGTCAGGACTCTCCTTTCCCAGGGCCTGGAGCTTGACTTCCCCCACCCTCTGGAAGATGAGAAATGACACACAGCATTCCAGATGCCAATCTCACGAGCGGACCAGAGGGGCAGGGAAGCAGGGAGCCACCATGTTCTGAGGGCTTTGTGTGCCCTGTCCTGGCACATCTTGATGACCCTCTGAAGCAGATCTTGGAATCCTCATTTGACGGGTTCGGAGTCTGAGGCTCAGAAAAGTGAAGGCACTTGCCCAGGGCCACACAGTGAGTGATGGAGCCAAGACTCAAAAGCCTGGATTCCTCCCATTGCACCGACTGGCATGTGTACGCATGTGTGTCAGCTACCACATCAGTTGCTAAGCCACATGTGGACAGCAGGTGGGTGTCCACCTACAGGGGAGATGGCAAGGGTGTGCAGTGTGTGTCTTACCAGACAGAAGCCCGTGGGTCCCTGAGGATGATGTCAAAGAGTGACAGGATGTGGGAGGGGAACAGGGATTAATAAGAAGCCCACATTCAAGGCCACCTAGGCCCTGCCCACACTTCACAAATACAGCTGTTCAGGGGGCCCTGGCCGAGTAGCTCAGTTAGTTGGAGTCTCGTCCAGATGCGCCAGGGTGGTGGGTTTGATCCTGAGTCAGGGTACGTGTGGGAGACAACCCATCGGTGTTCCTCTTCTCTCTCTCTCCCTCTCCCTTTCCCTCTCCTCTCTCCCCTCTCCTTATCTCTCAATCATTAAAAACTCACACCATACTTCAGGCGTGTCCACGTTGGTGAAACCACACTTCCTGGTGATCATGCAACTATTTATTGGACTGCTAAAAATAGTATGCAGGTACTATTTCCAGGAGCTGTGTGAGATGCAGAAATAAAACTACTGACAGCAGACTATCAGGCGCGGGTGAGTGTCAGAGGGAGGAAGGTTTACATAAATATATGAGTCACCGAGCAGACAGAAGGTGCTCGGGCCCAAAGGGATGGAAGAGCTCTAAAACGGTGTTCTCGTTCTAGGAGGCCCCCCCGCCGACCCCCCCCCGCCGGAGGGATTCCTCGAGGCCCGGAATCAGGGAGGGCTTCCTGAGGAGGTGGCCTTTATAGGCCTCTAAAGCTCTAAGTCAGTGGTTCTCAACCTTCCTACTGCTGCGACCCTTTAATACAGTTCCTCATGTTGTGGTGACCCCCAATTTCATTGTTACAAATTGAACATAATTAAAGCATAGTGATTAATCACAAAAACAATATGTAATTATATCTGTGTTTTCCGATGGTCTTAGGCGACCCCTGTGAAAGGGTCGTTTGACCCCCAAAGGGGTCGCGACCCACAGGTTGAGAACCGCTGCAAGTAGATGTAAAGTCTGCATCTGCAGACGCTTTAACGGAAGTTAGATCCTGTTTGACTTTCCAAGGAGCCCGGAGACGGCACATGCCTTTATTTCCCTTCTCCGGAGGCGGGCACGGAGGCGCAGAGGAGTGGACTAGGTGGGCCGAGCTAGCAGGTGGCGGCCAGGATTTGATCTGGAGCCAGTGGGACTCCAAGCCTCGCGCTGGGCTCCCTCCTCGCCTGGTCCCGCCGCAGC